TGATTTATATACATTAACTTTGTGTTAAATGTTTTCTCTGGAATTACAAATTCATAGTAAATTAATCCATGATGATAATTTCAAAGTTTGTAGATTTGTGTTTTTAATTTTGTATTAACCAAATCTAGTGTTATGAAAATTATGTGGATTAATTAGTATTTAAGATCTTATAATAATTATATATTATTGATTTTAAAGCGAATTTTGTTGAAAAAATAAAATGCAATAAATGTATTTTCATGAATTTCTTAGTTTTAAGAAATGTGAAAGATATGTTGTTATAATTATGTTACCATTGGCCTTTATGTGAAAAGTTGTGAATATTTATTATTCAAACTAGTAAGACCAATTGTGTTGAAAAATCTATAATAGAGTCGACATGAAAGTTGACGACAGAAAAACATAACTATATTCCAATAATTTTTGGGACAATTTTTAGTTCTGAAAATTTGATGCTATGTATGGAATCAAATGTTTTATGTATGTAAAAGTTTCTCATATCAATACAAAAGTATGGTTATGGTGAAACGAAATCGACAACTTTATGAAAAGTTGTGATTTCTTGATCTTTGGATGAATAGAGACATGTTAAGTGTTTTTGTCTTATGAATTCAAGTGAAAAGATACAAACTAAAGTTGTATCTATTGATTCTAAGTGATAAGACACAAAGGGAAGCACTTGTCTACTGGTTCCAAGTGAAAAGACATATTCAAAAGAATAAGTCAATTGGTTAAAGTGAAAAGACATGAGTGAAAGTCATGTCTAGTCATCCAAATGACGTATTAAGGTTGTGACTTTTGTTTGATAACCAAGCATTATTTTTGCAGTGAAACTTTTTGAATTGACAATGCTTACTTTTACATTGTTATTTTCAATATCAATGCATTTGATATGGTGTTATGCTTTCACTTTTTTATTCTTTTTGGATGCTAAGGTATTGTATATCTGCATAAGGTATTAGTAAGTATCATATGCCTTAATAATAAAAATGTGAAACATATGCATAAACCATTGTTGCAAGTTTACTTCCAAATAAAATCTGGAAGTTATTGTTGGTATAACACATTGTTGTATGTGAACTTAATAATTTTAAACTAAGGGATGCAAAGAAATATTTTGTTACTTTAATAGATAATTGCTCATATTTGTGTGCATGTTTATCTAGTGAAGATAGTGGAGAAAATATTTGATACATTTTGCATGTAAATTCCTAGTCTAAAATTATTGTAGTAGGTAAAATGGACTAGTATATAATAAATAACAAATAGTTTGGCTAGAAATATAAAACTCTATGTGTCATGGCAATGCTATGCTTGTGAGTTTAAGTAGCCAAAAAGTTTGTGGAATAAATATTATTAAATACTTATCATGTGTACAATTAAACTCCTTAAAGATTAAAGTATCTCCATGTGGAATATGGAAGGGGGGAGAAAAATTATATTGTCGAACATAAAAAGTTTAATGTGACACTACATATTGTTGTGTTCATTATTGGGACCAAAACACTTAAGTGTGTGGTTATATGAACACTAAAGTATCCAAACTACTTATCATTGATTATAATGTATTAATATAATCAATGGATGTAGATTCATTTAAAATTTGCTTTTAAAGTTTCTAAACCAAGTAGCTAATGTATCATCTAGTGAACCTCTGAGTTTCCAAAGTGTAAGTGGTTCTATGAGTGAACCAAAGAGAAATACAATAATTTTCTGGTTTAAGCAAAGTCTAAAGTTTATGAAAGTTCTCTTGGAAGTTGTATCCTCTAAGGTTACTGTCTTCCTAGTGAAAGCAATAAAAATACTCTACTAAGTAAAACTTTATGATGTTTTTGTGGAGTAAGTTAAAAACAATGAGTTTTTTGAATTTTAGGCTGATACATTTGGAAAGAAGAGTTAATCATGGAATGGACTTGACATTGTCTAGCGATTTATGTGTCCAAATTGATTTAACTTGAAAGGTTCTAGACTAGTACATTGTAATGGTTATTCCATCAGTAATATATTGTTGATAGTAAGAGATATCAATAGTATATTTGGACTGGAAGTGTTTTGATTACTTTGGCTAGTTTGACTTGCACAATTTATCCTACTAGCTAGAAGTTTCCATTTAAGTTTTTCATGTTCACCTATGAAATATATAAAGTATCATCTTAGTGATGACTTATATGAAAATGTAAATTTGGAACTTCTTAATACTTTGTGCTATGAAGTGATAACAAGATGTGTGTACTAGTGAAGTCTTGATTTGATTTTATACAATTGTAAGATGGTTTATCTAAGTTACTCTCATATGGTGCATATATGTTGTAAATTGCATATGTCAAAAGTTTGTGAAGAGTATGTAATAGATATATGCTTTTGTATAAAAATCTATGCTCAATGCATACAATAATTTCAACAACGTGCAGTGGATACTAAGAAAAATCCTTTTTCTAAGTTCAAATTAAATGAGCTTGGCGAAAGAGGTAATGTCTTAGTCATTGTATTGAAAGAAATAGTGGGGGTTTTGTACTTTCTTATTCATATGATGTTAATAAGTTATTAACAAAGTATCAACATGCGAATATGAAGAAAGTTTGTACTCTCATGATTTTATATTTAACATTTGTGTTAAATATGACAATCCAATTACTAAACTAGAATCTTCTAGTGACATTGGATGTCTTGTATGTGCATTGGAGTAGTGTTTATCTTTGTGATATGTGACTCACTAATTACACGAAGTGCCTAAGTAAAGTCCATTGCAAATCTAATGCTAAAATCATAATATGTCTTTAAAAGACTAAGGGTTATGATTTTATTATAATTGATTAGATTTCTATTGTTCTTAAGGGCTATTCAAATGCTAGTTGGTATTCTATAATTAGTGATCATAACCCGTTAGTGGTTATAAATTCATGCTTGATAGTGAGAGATGTTTCTTGATAAGTGAAACATACAATAATCACTCTCTCCAAGAAAGGAAAGTTGAATTTGTTGAACTATCTTCAGTACATAAGGAGGTGAAGTGGCCAAAGGGCCCTGGCCTGTGTCGCCTGTAACTTTGCGTTGTGATAGTTAGATTAATATGTCTTGAACATTGTGCAAACTTTGACAATGAGTAAATATAGACATATTAATTCAATATATGTATTTCTTAATGAGATACAAGTGTTGATGTTGTCGGTGTTGTGTTTGTAAAAATACAATTTTATTATGGATCCATGTACCATATCTCTTACGAGAGAATTGGTGTTTTTCGACAACATGAGGAATGAGAGTAAAATCTCAATACTAAAATCACGAACAATGGAAACCCAACCTTTTTCTAGTACTACCACTAGATTGCAAGGTTTAAAGGGTAAGAACAAGTTATTTTGTGGTTGTGAGCACCAAAATTCGTGTATACCATTCCAAGTATTGGTGCATTATACATGTTACTCTTAAGTGAGCAGGTTGAGAGAAATCTCTTAATGGAATTATTCCTGAGCGTTTAATTACGGCATAGTAATAAACTGGAATAACTTCCACCTATTTGATCATAGAGGTGGTGCCGCTTCTAGCAAAAGTTTGAGATTGTCTTTTGTATATGATCAAGAATCTAGGATGAGCACATGGCCGGTAATAGTGCTAAATCATAATGTGAATTATAAGGAATGCTATGGGTGTTTGTGCGTGCATTATTAAGTCTATACTAGACTGATTATTAGTTTAAGCAATGAGCCACCAATAACTTAGCTAGTTGGGTGACTTAATTTCACTACGATGTGGTTTAAGACGAAAGTTACCACCTCTTAAGTGCGATTCTCATGATTGTATAATTATTTTATATTACAAACTAAGTGGGAGAATGTTGGAAATTTTTAGTTTGTAAAATAAAATAATTAATTTAGAATTTAAGGATAATAATTAAGTTGGCAACCCTTCACTTGCATGGTGGTTATTTCCTACAAGTTAAGGGTTGTGTACTTAGTTCTGTATCCTTTTAATTCTGCAAGTGTTACCTATAAATAGGTGAACTGGTGCAGGACTTCTAAGAAACTTTTGCATTCCTAAATTCTTGAGAACATTCAATAATTGCAAGTTGCATGTTCTTGTGTTCTTTATGTCCTAGAGGCAATTTGCCGAACAAACCCGGTATTGCAACATGGAGGGGGCAAATATTGTCTTAAGGACAGTGTCTAACACGATTAGAACACATCCAAATCTTGTGATTCCCCCATTATTGTTAGATTCAAGTTTTCAACAATAAAGTTCATAAATCTTTCATCTTTATTCTTTAGTGTCTTTTGTGTTGTCTCTTTGATTACCACCCTCGTATACTTTCAGGAATTCCACGGAGAAGTTGATATACAATTTACCCCTCATAGATGGCCTCTTCTGATACACCACCATTCCCTCATCATTGATTGCCTTGAATTGACCAGGCTTTATCACTTCACCAGGTTGCGACTTAATGACAAGTCGTCTGCCATCTAAATGAGTAAGAACAAATTGGAAGCCACAAAGCGCCTCGGTTAGGGTGAATGTGTGTTTATAGTAGAGGTCGTCGTGCTTCCGTTTGAACTTAGGGTGCTCCTCTATCTGTTGTAGGACAACAACTATTATGCTACAACCATCAGTAACATCGTCGTCGTCGTCGTCCCAAACAGGAGTAACATCGTCGTTGTCGTCGTCTCGAACAGTATATGCGATATTTTGCCCGTTTTGCATACCCTTCTCCACCACAACTTGTAAATTCTTCGTCTGCTTCACATACTTTTTGCCCTCGCAGCGTCTGCACCGGTCCTCGGTTTTAATCGTTTCACCACTCCCTTCACACTCATCGCAAAGGCGTACACCAGTAGAATAAAGTTTACATGCCGAGCCTTTGCACTCGGGACATTTTATTGATGAAGCACGAGATTTGGATTGGGAACCCGTTCCGTCGCACCTTGAGCATCTCGCATTCCCCAACACAGATACCTTCTTCGAGGTCCCGTTGTAGAGGTCCGCCAGGGAAACCTTGAGTGGATGTACTACATCATGCTGGCCCACTCCACTAGTATTTCCCACCGCTGCGTCCTCCGGTCTCCTCTCCTTCTCCTCAAGGTGTCATCACTGCCATTGCCTTGTTGTTTCACTGCACCCTCACCATACTGATCATAGTTGCCTTGTTGTTTCACTGCATCCTCACCATACTGGTCATATATATCACGCTTCTTAGGGTCCGAAAGTACAGAGTAAGCTTCGGTAATCATTTGGTACTTTCGAGGATCGCCTCCATTATCAGGATGGTTCCTCCAGGTGGCTTTCCAATAAGTCTTCCAAGTCCCTAGAATCTCATAGTACTTAGTCTTATTGCTCTTTTCCGCCTGCCCCTCAAACATCTTCCTCTATCGTCTATATGCGGAAAACCGGGGGTAATTGGTTTGGTGTGTTGGGGAGAAAATGGATGAACGGTTTCAACCCGAAAGTAAAAATTAAAACAAGTAAAACCTAACCGGGGTTAGAGGATTAGGACGTGTGACGTTATTACAAGGTCGAGAGTTTGATCCTCACTGAAATCATTCAATTTTTTTAAAATAAAATAAAATAAAACCTACACGAGAAGAGACTTCTTATTCCCCACCAAACAAAAGAGAAGAGACTTCTTATTTTCAGCTTATAATACAACATGTGTTTTTATAGACAGGAAGAGAAGATAGAAATAGACTAATCCTTAATCGTAACGAGTTTTATTATTTTTATTTTGAAAAAAAAAACCCCTTTCTATCAAACTATTTCCTATTTCCTATGGTAATCTATATATATTATCCATCTAAAGTTGATTTTTTTTTATCACTAAGAGAGAAATTAGTGAGAAAAAAATTAAAATAATCTCTACCTTGCCACATATATAAGTTAAAAAAAAACACTTCAAATTATATGTGCCTTTTTCTCATGCATCACTCCAAATTTGTCTTGAAAAATGATACAATCGGTCATCATCCTTATACTTAAATATAAGGCACAGTAGGCAAGAAATAATGCCCAAAAAATATTCAAGAACTACCGTCAAATCGATCTCATCCGTCGGATGGGGTTGATATGATGTCAGCGACTTATTAGGGGTAAAACAGGGATTCATAAATCATTTCAATAAAAGGCACAGTAGACAAGAAATAATGCCCAAAAAATATTCAAGGACCACCGCCAAATCGATCTCGTCCGTCGAATGGAGTTGATGTGATATCAGCGACTTATTAGGGGCAAAAATGAAAATACAAAAATTCAATTTATTCCAATTAAAAGAAACCCGTAACCTTTTGAAAAAAATAACCACTAACCTATAAAAGGACGTCGTTTCAGGATTTAACTTTGGAATCCTCACTCCTGAAAACAATATATTTAGAAAACCTGAAAGTTTTTTGTTAAAAACTAGCAACAAAACGACTTTGTTTTGTGGGTTTCTCCAAAGAAAATAAAAATAAAAAAAAAATAAAAAAGTACTCACACCGTTTAAAATCTAAAAACAGCCCTCGTCATTGTTGCCAATTTTTTTTTCCACTAATAACCTTCATAAGGCAGTGCTCCGCCTACCCAGGTCCCCCTTCGTTGATTCAGCCGCCTCTACCGCTTCCCTCTCTGCATCCTCCGCCACCACTAAACCCTGAAGATATATTTTCCTTAAACATGCTTCTCCAATTCATACCATCCCGATTCCACCTCCACAAATTTAACCAAACAAAAACCCTAAATTCCACCGGAGTCACCCCGTCGAAGAGATTTTGCAAGAATGACTTCCTTCACTTGTACGAGATGAAATTCGTGGGGGAGCAACTGCATGTATCGTATCACTGTGGACATCATGACGGAGGAAGCGAGGCGGAGCTAGGTGTTTGGTCGGAATAGAATTAGGAAATTACCGTTTTATTTGATTTGGAGTTGTATGTGTAATAGGACTAAGAAATTATTGTTTAATTTTTATTTATATATTTCCATAAATTTGGAATTGTAATATGAATAGGCAATTCAGTTCCTCTCTGATTCCGGATTTGTTTTGCGATGAGAATAGAAATCCCCTGTGGGCCAGCATGTCTATAAAAAACCCCTAGCAACCTCACTACTAGGATCACAAAAGACTTCCTACTTCAGCTTACCGGTTTCTTTGATTTTTTCATCTTTGATTCAGGTAAATCTTTTTTAACCTTTTAATTTCTATAATTTTTTTTACCTCTATACGGTAGAGGAAGCTTGAATATTTGTAAAGATTTTTCTCTGGTTCTTTTCCAAATCCTACAAACAGGTACTAATTTTGATTCCTTTATTTTTCCTGATTTTGAAGTTGTGAATTTGTTGTTAATTGAGCGAGATTGTTGATAATTTTAATGGTTTGGAAACTAATAGACTGTCTTCCTTTCAACTGAAACCAAAGAGGAACAAGAATATATGTACTCCAGTAGCAATAGGGAAGCCAGAAATAGAATTTATTTAGAAAATTAGTACCGCACAAAGTGACTTCCCTTTTTCCTAGCTCGAGCACTTCATCTCTAGCTCATAAACTCTCTGCAATTCACATCATCACCTAACAGAGAATACATGAATAAAGGTGTTAATTAATTCATACAAAGAATTGTTGGAATTTTCAGAACCAGCGATTGGAAAAAGGAAATTTTCCCAATAGCAAATACTATTTTCAGTAGCAACTGGTAACAATGTTCTTTTCATATTTGGGCAGTGTCATATAGGAAATTTGGGACTCTTGATTCTTTGACTCCATAATAAGTGTTGTATTGCAACATGAGTAGAAAAGTGCATGTATGCAACTCATTAATTTGCTTCCTTCCAGGAGGCTTGAAAGTGTAGCTTAACCAACTGAATAAGAAACACTTGCAACAGGAAACAGTAGGTTATTTCAATTTTCAAATGGTGGATTTATATCACCTTATTTGCTTGTGGTGAGCACATGTGGTCTTGTCTGTTTTTTCCTTACACCTAGGCGTGGAAAGTTGGACTTCGTATTGTAAGTGTGAAAATTAATGAGTTGGAATAACTTTTGCGTGTTCATGCTGCCCTTTTGATAATTGATGACCTTAGATTACAGTTTTGGTTATACGGTGCTAAGATAGAACCTAGGAGGCTGAATGTGATTGGCTTTATGATCTTACTCGGATATTATTAGATTAGTGAAATACTTTATTTGATGATTACTCAGACAGAAACTAGGATATTATTAGATTAGTAGTTGGAACTTTCTGGCTGTAATTCTGCAAAACCATAGAATTTGTGTAACACGATGATGCTAGAGAAATGGAAAAATTGGAATCTTCAAAAAAAGCATGTGCAAAATACTTCATTTGATCACAGTTTCTGGAATCGTGGAAATCATTGCTCCCATATGATCAACTCCTTGTGCTACGTGTAGAAAAAAAGAAAATAAAAAGTGTTCTATATGCTCCAAATAGTTGGAGGATACGTCGATTGGCTTTAATTAGCATTGTCAAAGGACTTCTTCATTGTATACTAAGCATTTCTCAGAACTTAAATGCATGTCTTTTTAAATTTTAGATGCAGCAAAAAATTTGTGATGCATATCACAGTTTCAGATGCATGTTTGTCTGACAGATGCAGCATTCTGTTTCGAGTGTTGTTAGGAGAGCTGCGGCAACTAAATTATAAATTCGCTGATAATGCAATGATCTTTTTTTATTTTTTTATTTTTTTGCACTTTTGAATGCAGAATCCGCTAGAGTGTAACTTCCTGTTGTTTCCACCGGCCTGAGATCAAGTTTTTGAGCCTTGAAGCAATCAGAATGGCATGCACATGATTGACGACTTTTTGTAATTTTCTCAATGGCATCCTTTGGAAATGGCTTTAAAGTACAATTCCCAAGTGTAGACCTGTCCAAAATAAATGACAAGGCACTTGCAGCTACATGAAGATGAGAAACGAACTTCAGACAAAAAAACATGTGTGGAAATGTTGACAGGGCCAAGAATTTGGACGCGGTGAAATCTGAACTAAGGCTTAGCGAGGGGAAAACCGTGACTGATATTTCATCTTTTTGTTTTGTGTTTGTGTGTGTGTGTGTGTGTGTTTCTTTTTTTCCTTTTTTTCTCTTTATCTACACCATCTCCCCATGCATTCGTTTGATGCTTTTCTTCTTTTTTTTTTTCTTTTTTCGTTTACAACATTTTGGCAAATGCTTCCTGTCACATGTGGACTATTAAATTTGCAAGGAACAACCATAATACTATAATATCAAGCTTCTAATTTGTACATGCGTCAAGAAAAAGTAAATTGCAATTTTTTCCCTAATTGACTATTCACTTACGCCGGTGGATGGAAACAAATACGATCATTCTGAATCTCTAAAGAACTAAGTTGGGATAACATATTGTAAATTATTATAACTGTTGCCAACTAAAATACACAATGAGTAATTGTTGCGCATTCACTTGCAAATGTAAATTTGATTTGTAAAAGTGAACCATGCATATTGTATACTAGACAAAATATGGTTTGCGTTTAAGGTCTTAATTTCAATAACTACCGTTTTGTAGGTTGAAGTTTCAGAGATTATAATAAATACAAAATACATTTCATTATAAATATTTGTCAATATTGACATCGATATATAATATATTAAAAATACAAATTGATTGTGCAACACACGAATATGGGACCTCTTTAAAATAATTGGTTGTAGTTTCAAAGATTTAATATAATTGGTTGTAAGGTTATAATAAAAACTTGCCATAGAACAAGCATTATTAAATTTTAATAATAATCAAATTGATAATTAATTTAGTAGATCTTAGATTGACAATTACAGAATTAAACCTAACATATTTACTTATTCTTGCTAATGTCTCTTGCTTTTCTTATTCAAGCCAAAACCATCACATATCCTCCACTAAAATAACTTGATTTATGAACTGCCTTATTTTAATTTTCGTTCTCTCCTCTTACAATCGTGCACCGCCAAATGCAAAGATTTCTCTATCTCTCACAACAAATATATCTACCAAAAAACTCTTTTCTAATACACGATTCAATAGCGGGGAGAGTGCACGATAAAAAATCACTTCATAAATCCAAAAAGTCAATTAAAAAGAATAAAATATCACATTCATATACACTATTACGTAACAACAAAAATTCGACCAAACATGAAGTATATAAAAATTCTAAAACTATCAAAAAGAAACAATCTATATATGTACTGGTCGCGCAACGCGCGACACGTAAAAGACTAGTATTTTAGGAAAAGAACGAGTTCAAAGCTTGACGTCAATTAGTGAATTCCGGCTCTAACTAAAATTCCATCCACATTCATGAGCATCAAATTCTTACCCTCTCCATTTTGAAATATATGTTGTTTTAGGGTTTAGTGAGTTTTTTTAAATATATGTCGTTTTCACAAATCGAGGCATATTTTACCACTTTTTACCAATATTACCTTGCATTGGAAATGAAAATATATTTATAATGAAATTCTATTGGTTTGTGATGAGTTGTATATAAATAAAATTATTTTTGTATTTCAACTACAGTAATTAATGTTTACTTGGTTTTGATGAATTTTTTAAAAAGACATATAAAAAAATGGAGGGAGTACTATTTTACCGCTTGTACTATGCAAACCCCAGTCATCATTGCGGGAACTACGAAAAATAGATGATGTTTTTTTAAAGTTGAATATCATGCATCATATTCTTAAAAATAATGCCATCGAAAGTGCATACATAAAGAATGCAAATAGAGAGTATTTGGGACATAGTCCCTTCAGTCCCTTTTAAAGTCTAACCATTGTTGAGCTAATTTAACCCTTAAATTAATGTCATCGAAAGTGCATATATATAGAATGCAAATAGGGAGTTTTTGTGACAGTCCCTTCAAACAGTCTCTTCAAAGACCAAATACTATGTGGTTAAGCTAATTTAACCCTAATTTTCTCACATTTATAATTTGTGTGTTAATGAACACCTTCAAAACCTATAATTTAGAAATTCAAAATCTTTGAATGATTGAGTATTTACTTCGGTAGAGCAAAGCATCGCACCGGCTATTTCATTTCATTCCTTTTGACGTCCCATACAACTCTCTTATCGGTCGGTTGTCTTCTATGATCATAATATTGCAAAAAAGATTGGGTTAGTTTTTCTGCTACAACCTATTTGAAAGAATATTACGATATTGTGATTCTAATAATAAAAAATCAGACATGGTGATAAAAAGAGAAACGAAAGAAAATAGGGCATATATTCAATTTTAAACTAAAACAAGAAATTGACTTTTTGTGTGCTTGTTTTTGTGTGTTTTTCTTTTTATTTTTTATTTTGCCACAATGCTTGTTTCCCAACCGAAAATATAAAAATTAAACTTAGAAAATTCATCTTCGTTAATTTCAACGCGAATAATGCTCCTTTGTGTTTTCTCAATGACAATTGCAGTCGTTTCAATTTTACTCTCTTCTCTAGGAATGAGTACTATGTCGAAATAAAGAGCAAGAAATGAGGGCTTTTTCTCCCAATAGAAGCTTATCAAAATATTTTTCCCTTTTTAGTCCGCCTAATTAATGAATCGTAAGTTAATTCATTTCCGAAATTGCCGAAAAGAAAGTAAAACCACATCAAAAGAATAACCACATGCATCACAAAAAATTAGATAAATCAAAACTTTAAAAATCAGAACCAAAACACAGCATCATACCCATTGGTCAATTATTATTGTGAAAAAGCTAAGGCACAACAATATATTATCTTATTGGCTCGGCTCTTTCGTCTTCTTTGCTGGTTCATGCATATATTCATCACGAAAGATTGTCTTCCACCCACCAGTCTCGACGAGGTACCCTTAATACAAGAAAAAAAAAAAAGGGAATCATCAGAAGGTAAAACAAAGATAAATAGTACTACATAAAAAGGAAGCAAAAGAGGGTCAGGCCAACAAACGTACCACTGATGAAACCACCAGTTTCACCATTTTCGCCTCGTTCAATGCCCATATTGACTTCAACCGCGATCGTGCCAATCGCACATTCAGCAAACTTTTTGGCTTCGTCGCAGGACATATCATAAACGGAAGTCCTACACAAAAAAATACCATAACTTCATTCAACAACGAAATTCTTTTAAAATTAGTAGGTAAAGAAAAAAATGCTGCGGAAACAAAGGAAATAGATCAGGATGACTAAAATTGACAAAACCCAATAAAACAATCATATGCAGACAGCAAGTTATTACTCGAAAGGTTTAAGATCCTCAGCATGTGGTGAACCAGATCCAATGGCAAAATGGTTTTCTTGAAGAACGATGCCCTTATCATCCAGGCAATACATGCTAAAACCCTACACTAAGACAAATGCCAAAACTCATGAGTGTTACAGGGTTGGGGCAAGGAACATTAAATCTAGTGACAAAAATTTGACCTAAAACATAATTAGAAGGGTGGTATACTAACATTAGATTCATCCCAACCAGCAATCAGCATGTCTATTCCATAACCCTTGTAAAAGCTATAATCTAGAGTCTCACCCACCCAATACGTTGCCTTTGCAACAGAGCCTTTCCGCTCCGCAGGTGCAAGCAGGTACTGGCATTGTTCAATGAAATTGTTCATTAATCACCAAGCAAAACAACCGCATAAGCAGACATAAACACAAGCAATTCCTGTCATTTGATTGAGCCTAAGATATACACATAATTAAGGAGAAATCCCTGTCATACTTCCATGTCCGAATATAAAGCTACACAGCAATCTAGAACGTAATGTTAATGTAAGCAAGGATCACTCTCAAATGTTATTATACAAGCTTAAGGAACAAGAAGCTACATACCATACTTTTCAAATCTTTGAGAAAACCTCTAGGGCCCCTGCAGAGACAGTGGCGAGCACGTGGGTGTCGAGGTCAATAACGCTCTCGACAAACTCTTTGGATGCTAAATAATATTAAAAGTTGAGAGTTACTAACTTGTTTGTTTATCATAATGCATGTATATATAGAATGAACAGCAGATACTCCCTCGGTCCTTATTATGAAGCACAAGTTCAAACTAATTCGTGCCTCACAATTAGGACCAGAGAGAGTACACAGAGACCATCCCTCCTTCCCAAAATAACTCACCATCTGATTTACGACATGAATCAATCTCTCTGACCCAATATAACTCCTCCCAAGATAACTCATCATATACTTTAGGCAGTGAATGATGATGATCAGTAGCTACAATAACACCTTCCTTGAAGATAAAACCCAGAGCAGAGGTTCCCTTCAATTCGGATGGCCTTGCATCGTTACACTAAAAATACCAACACAAACGGGGAAGATTAATTAAACATGCAAAGGAGAAACAATGGTTTCAAACATTAATCTTTTAGTATTCTTTTCTAATAATTACTCCCTCTGGTAATTGATACAAGCCATTTTGATTTGTTCTACGTTTTAATTAGGAAAACACGACCGATGTCAAATTATATTTTTAAGGTTTTTTCTTCATTAATACAAAAATACATCTTAGTTGAAACCTTGGGCAAATCAAACTGCATGACTGGAGGGAGCAGAGAAAAAGAAAAGTAGAATAGGGTAAAAGAAAAATTGACTTTAGTAAACCGCAAATTCCATTACACTGTTCTTCACACTCATCAGACCGATCATCAGACCAGTTGGAATCGGAATGGGAGTCGGAATATGGAACCAGTTTCGACTTTGATGCAGGTGAAACAAAAAAAAATCAAATGGAACATCAGCAAAATAAGAAGGAGAAAAAACAAAAAGACAATTATTGCCCTAATATCTGTGGGGAATTCGAGCCAAAGAGACGAAAGGGAAAATTAAATCGACAAAAGATTATACCTTGTTCCCCTCCTCTCCCGCAGGACATGAGTCTCGCTACAAACACCACCAAATAATTTTTTTAAGAAAAATAAAATAAAACGAAAATAAAAGGGAAAACAGAAGACTCTACTTACAATTTTCTATGGTTGAACTTAGGCAGGGGAAAAAAAACAAACCTCAATCATCACATCATCAACATCGGGATTGTGAGTAAATACAACGCGGAAATCTCCGTAGTCGGGGAATTGGTCGGATTCAATTTTCATGATTCTCCACTTCAATCCAAGCAACTTAAAACAAGTATCAATAATGCAAAAAAAAAAAAAAAAAAAAAACTGATGGAATTATTAGCAAAATAAGGAGAAGAAGACAAGAATATATCAATTTTAATTGGTTTATATTATGGCCCTAATTCTTCTTACCCTTACCTATCAAAAGTTCAGAGGAGTTGTTAAGCCTAGATTAACTAGGATTCACTTTAATTTTAAGTGAACTTTTGTAGTCTATAAACTCTTTTGCTTCCCTAATGCAAAAAAGTAAAAAAAATAAATAAATAAGTTGTTTTCGCCAAAAACAATAGAAAACTAAGAAAAGGCGCTGATCAGAAAACAACCAAAGTTTAATTTTCGTTTTTTTAATTAGTTTGAATTATTTTTGTTGGTTAGAAGGGGAAAAAAAGAAAGAGAAGAAAGGAGTGAATCGTATTTAATTGGTGTCTTACACCAAAAGCGAAAGTATAAGAGAGAGATATTTTATTATTATTGTTATTAAAATTACTAGATGTTAAACCCGAGCGATGCACGGGGTTTATTTATATACATTATAAAAAATTAAAAAAAATATATAAAAAGTGTAAAATGTATTTGGAGTCCATATTAAGATACATTACACAACTAAAATTAAATAAAGGCGTAATTGTAAAGATAAAATAATGCATATTATTTAAAATTCAAGTGTTCATTTGATTTTTATTGAAGGAGAAGAACAGGACAATAACACTCATAAGCAAAGTATAATAAATAAAATTGTATTAATGTTACATATTGAATGAGAAAATAAAATGATTGTACGCGTAAAATACATAATGAAGTAATTATCAATAGTAGATGGTAGATTATGTGTGACTGAAGTATGAAGTTTAAAATTTTTATGGTTATTTTGTTGTAATTAAAGATTTTATAGTACTGTTTGGCCCAATACTTGATATTTTAGAGGAACAAACCAACTGTAGAGTTAAAATTTTTGCCCTTTAATCCCTTTTTGCTATGACAATAGAAAATAATAATTAATAAAATTATGAAATTATGGGTAAAAAACATAAATTTAGTAACGTCTAAAAAAGAACCCTAAAACATCATTTTGCAGAAGAACATACGGAAATAAAAAATTATATATAACCTTAATTAACCATTACCTCCCATGCCACACGATCAACCCACTATTAGTTCATCGCTTTCAGAACAACAAACCAATTGTTGGGCTAAAGTATTTGCCCTTTCATCTTTGGATTTCGGGTTGTTTTGGGGAGGGGGAAATTTTTGCAGCACTGGAACATACTTATGGTTTGTGTGACATGTATAAATAGAGATAAATTGGGACTGATGATAATTGATTATCCAAAATTTCAGTGATAAAGATAAAGTTTATAACAATTTTTGAGATATTATTAAGGAAAGATCATATTTATTTGGGTAGATATGATATTACACAAATAAATGCATTGGTTTGAAATTCAAAAGATAACATTTAATTATAGTTAAATCCCATCCTTTTAGTAATAATTGAAGGCAAGTTTTGTACCCTTTTTTTTCTTTTTTAATGGCGAAAAATACAGGGTCATGTTTTTTGGAGAAGATTTCAAAGATAACATTAATGTTGAATGATTGATATTTTTTTTTTGAATTGTAGTTTATTGATTTACATGATTGGGAGGGAGATTTTTTTTTAGAGAGATTAATTAAATGAGTCCAGTAATAACTTTGGGGATTCTTTTGGGGAGGGAATAATTCTGGTGCATTAATGTTCATTAATCCCGTCCATTAAATTTAATTAATTTTTATTTTCCTATTTTAAACTATAGTTTTAAATGCCATTTGATAAAACTTTATTTACATAAAATTTGAAGGACTATTAGTATAATTGTTGTGAATATTTTTTCACTCAACCATTAGAAAAATGACACATAGGATTTTATCCTATGTGGCACCTTTAGAATTCTTTTTTTATTTTCTCTCTCTGGCTTCTCTCTTAGTATAATACTATAGATTTTTAATGAAAGACCAAAAATAATTCTACGTCGTTTACTTTATTTCTTTTACCATGGAGGATCTAGGGTTTATTCCAAAATTTATCTTTGGAGGTTGACGATGCTTGGATATGCGCTGCCGGTTTAATGGTGGAACTCCGGCTAGGGTTTCCTACAAAACAGGGCCTCGGGGTCTCCCGAGGATAGACACTCCGATGCTTAAGTCAGTAAAAAGGGTTGCTAGAAAGCTTAGGTATGTAGTTTATTGAGCTATAGATCGCATACCTGTACCGTGGTATGAGTTACCGTATTTATAGGTATGAAATTACCTAGACAACTCTCGAATCCAACTAGGTTTTGGGAACCTCCACTGCCCTAAGAGTCCCGGTTGGACTCTTTCTACAGTTGGTGGGCCGGTCCAGTCTCGGTGATGGATACGGACTCGTCAAGTGCCCCTGCCAAGTGTTAGTGACGTAAAGGCAAACAACGCTTGGTACAAAATAAGTATTACCTGAGACATACCCGAGAGTGGACAGACTACCCTCGTTCAACTAATTGTCGAGCCACATGCCAAACGAGCTCGATACTAACGCATAACCCTCGATCTCGGAGGATCGAGAGTAACTGGAGGGTCATGTCTTGACCCAAGAAGACGACCCGCTTCCCAATCCCGCCCAAATTTTCAATTGTGCGTTATTAGTGGGCACGTTCCCCTAACGGCGGCCTCAACATCATTACTTCCTTGAAACCCGCAATAACTGTCATATCGTGGTCTATAATTAGAGAAACGTGGGAGAATCAATTTTCTTTTTAAGGAGAAAGTTCTACCGCCCCTTTGCACTTAATCATTTTCCTTCTTTGCAAATAACTCGAAGTTCTCTCCTCTGCTAAAGCATTCCAGTCCTTAAAGAGTTCTTCTTTACCAGAGCATCCTAACCCCCTTTCCCAATTGGAATTTTCAAGCTTTCGCCTGAGACACTGCCCCAGCGACGCTGTTCCCAGGGGAGTTGCTAGTTGGAGTTTCTGAATAATGCTGGGGAGTTATAATTCGAAAGGCGAGTGGTCACGTCCTCCTTCCATAGTAAGTTTCCAGATCTGAATCTCCAATTTGTTCCAAGTTTTTGTCCTTTCCTGTTGTAGCCAGAGCAGATTCTTGCCGGAATTATGGTTAGGGATTCCGAAGGAAAAACTGTTTTGGACTTTGTATCCACCATAGATTCGATTGATAAGGTAGAGAACCTTAGATCCAAATATGACCTCCCCTCCGCCCTAGAGGCGAGAGCCCCATTAGGAAACGAGAGAGCTAACTCTCCTCCAGGGGGAAGAATTACCGTGTATGACCGATTCATGCATCTAGGGCTTAGATTCGCCCTCTACCCCCTGTTTGAGGAGATTGTGTAACACTATAGGACTCCTCTCGCTCGTTTTACCCCAAATTTAATTACATTTGTACTTGGGTTTGCGAGAATATGCCAACATGTAAAAGTAATACCTCGATTAGTATTGTGGAGGTATTTCTTCCAAGTAGTGGTGGCCTCGACCTCTTTCCAAGACTGGTATATCATGAAAAGACGCCTTAGAGCCGGCGTGAAGAAGATGGTCGAGGCGTATGGCGGCTCCCCAGAATGGAAACCAGACTTTTTGTTTGTAAAGGTGCCCTCGAGTTATTGCTTGCCATGGAATCTCTGAGAGACAGAGGGTCTCGGGGCCATAAAGGATGAATGGACCCAAGAGAATGAAGAGTGCGTCGAGGAGCTCCAGGCAGATGTGGAGAAAATTCTGAAATATTCTAAGGTCGTTAAATGGAACAACGTACAATATTACGTGCCTCCTGTATATGCGAAGGAAAGTGATACGGTCAACGTCGAGGGAGCAACAGAATTCCTCTCGAAATCTCTGTTGAAGAAGATGAAGGTACTAATCATTTTCTTTTTTTTCTTCTTTGTTGTTAGGTCATGTCGTCGAGCAATGCTGGGTCTCGATTGTTTGGTGACGAAGATCCTTTTGTCATTGTGAATTCAGATGAGGACGTCACTGTTACTGCTGCCCCTCAGAAGAAAAAGAAGAAGAGGATCGTGAAGGTGGACGATAGGGCGAAATCCAAGAAAGCTAAGACGGATGCGCCCTCGAAGGAAACCACACAGCCGGGTATCGAGACGGTGCCCCTTGCCACTGAGTCTGTTCAGAAACATGTGCCGGAAGCAGGGCCAAGCATAGTTCCTCCCGTGGCAAAGAAAGGGAAGGGCCCCCTCGAGGGAGAGGCAATAGTTTTGCCCCCTCAGCTGTTCGAGAGAGGCCCGTCTGTGGCAGTTCACACTTTTAGCAACCCACCGTCAATCGAGTGTCCTATTCTTGAGGAATTTCGCTGCTCAGCTGAATGAAGCCGACAGCCTGAGACTGGTAAGTCATTTTCCAGATTAGGTTGTAAATGCATATGTATATCAATGTGTTCCTAATATGCTATGTTGGTTCAGATAAGTGCGGCTTCGATGGTCTACCTAGTGTAGTTAAGGAAACTTTGAGAAGACCTGGCTATAGCTCGGACGGAAAGGGACGAGGCGTTATTCGAGGTGGTTACCCTCGAGGAGAAAGTTCGCCAAGTTCAGGCTAAGGAGGCTGAAACTGTCGAGGTACAGGATAAATATGATGAGCTTGACGAGAAGATGAAGTCGTTTGCTAGCTTGCACATCTGCAAGGAGGAACTACATCAGTGGTGTACCGCCTTCATGAATAAAATGATGTCTACAGGAGGGATGGCTGTAGCCCTCGAGGAGATGAACTTGGTTGCCACCAAGTGCAGAGTGCACCGAGTTGACGTGGCAGGGTTGAAGAGGCTCGACCAGGACAAGCCGATTAAGGCAAAATGGTTCAAGCAGCTCCTGATGAAGGACCCGAAGAAAACCATGCACGAAGCCATGGTAAAGGTCTTGACAAAGTTGAGCATCGAGCAGCTTCCTCTGCGGGGAGCTTTAACCGGTGCCATGGCGAAGATGAGTTCCCCTGCGGAGATTGCCTCGTTCC